GGGGGGGTGGGGGGTGGGAGGTAGTACTTCCCCTTCTTTCCTTCTGCTTGGTGAGCCTCCCCTAGATTCTCATACAGCCTGTCCCCCTTACTTCTTGGAAATGTCACCTCCTTAAAGAGGCCTTCCTTGTCTACCGTGTTTGAGATAGCAGCTCCTCTCAGCGTCCTCTGTCCCTTCACCCGGGCTTAGTTTGTCGCCTCCACTTGACAAGATGTTATTGTCCTGTCTCTCCCCGGGATATAAGCTTCAGCAGGGCAGTGACTTTGCTCTGCTCATTTGTGTGCACAGTACCTGGTCAATAGCAAGGGCTTAATATATGTTGTTGAAGAAATGAAAGCGTGAATTGGCTGAGACTAATTTAGAAGTGAAACCAAAAAAGAGAGCCTTATGAGAAATGCACATAAGGGCACATAAAGCTGGCAAAGCCCTCCACAGTGTGATCAATCAATATAAGCCCATGGCACACAGAGCAGACAGTGCAATGGTGGAACTCTAGTCAGCCACTTCTATCAAGTTGTCATGGAAACCTGCTTGGTTTTTGCTTTTGTTTTTTGAGTTGGAGTCTCTCTCTGTCAGCCAGGCTGGAGTGCACTGGCACACTCACGGCCACCTCAGCCTCGACTTGCTGGGCTCAGGCGATCCTTCCGCCTCAGTCTGACAAATAGCTGGAACTACAGGCACACGCCACCACACCCGGCTAATTTTTTGATTTATTGTAGAGATGAGGGCTTGCCAAGTTGCCCAGGCTGGTCTTGAACCCGTGGACTCAGGCAATCCTCTCACCTCGGCCTCCCAAAGTGCTGGGATTATAGACGTGAGCCACCATGCCCAGCCTGTGCCTGTGTCTTTTTAAGTACAGCCTGACAGGACAATGGAACATGTATGTGGACAGAGAGATACAATATGTGTGTGCTCTGTTTTTTGTCTCCCATATACACCCCATGAGCTGTCAAAATAGTGATGACAGAGTATTAAACTAATTGTGGGACCCTTCTGAGAGAGGGGCCCTGTGTGACTGCCCAGGTCACACACAGCTGACTCTGCATACTGACATTCTGTGTTTGGAGGCCTCTGTCACTCTCAGGTCCCCTCTGTTTCCTGTGCCCCCTTTTCACCGTGTAGCCCAGGATGGCCTGGATGGTAGCAGGAGGGGGAGGTGTATGGTCAGCTGATGTAGCCTAGCCTCTCCCTGCTTCCTCTATGAAGCAGCCAAGCAGAACGTCCTAGTTGCCCCAGAGAGGCCATACTGTCTGCTGCCTTTTCCTATTGTTTCCTGTACCCCAATGGTTCTCAAAGTTATAGTCCCTGAACCAACAGCATCAGCTGGCTGTTATTAGAAATCCAAATTACGGCCGGGCGTGGTGGCTCATGCCTACAATCCCAGTACTTTGGGAGGCTGAGGGTGAGAGGATTGCCTGAGCCCATAAGTTCAAGAGCAGCCTGGGCAACTTGGTGAGACCTCATCTCTGCAATAAATCAAGAAAAATTAGCCAGGCGTGATGGCGCATACCTGTAGTTCCAGCTACTTGGAAGGCTGAGGCGGAAGGATCGCTTGAGCCCAGCAGGTCGAGGCTGCAGTGGCCGTGAGCGTGCCACTGCCCTCCAGCCTGGGCGACAGAGTGAGACTCTGACACACACACACACACACACATACACACACACAGATGCAAATTCCCAGACCCCACCCAGACCTACTGAATCAGAAACTCAGGATGGGGTCCAGGAATCTGGTCCTTTCCAGGCCCCTCAGATGATTGTGTTGCATGCTAAAGTTTGACCACCACTATTCTTCCTGAAATACTTTTCCCACCTCATTTCAGCCTCCTAATTCCTACTCCCCCTTCCCTGTAAAACATTGCTTTGTCAGCAGGGGGCTCTGTCCTGGGCTACACT